CCATGTGAAGAGTCTGCAGCGGAGCCTCTGTCGGAGGAAACTCGGAGGAGTGAGGGGCAGCGCGCTGCCGCCCCTCGACGCAGGGAACGCAGGTAGGGGCAGGCCCCGGAGGGAGGGGAGGGAGGGACCGGGGGAGACCAGAGACAAGGTAATGGGAGGCCATGCCTCGGAGACGAGGCAGGGAGGGGTGACCAAGGCGGTGGTGCCAGAGGAGAGTCTGGTGGGACAGGAGACGACACGAGCAGGGAGCAGACTCAGGACCAGACCTGGACGCTGCAGCAAACACCTGACCCGACGGAGCTACCTGACCAGACTCAGCAACCGGAGGAGACTCAGTAGTCAGTGTGTACAGGCTCGACCCCGGCTGACGGGTAAACGTGGCCAAGTGTCGGCCCGTCCGAGCACACGTACAGTGGGTCACCCGCTGACTCGTAGGAGTGAACTGGTCAACCCCCCCATCCTGTAGATCAGCACCACTCACCAAGTTCGTAGAGAACGAGGGGAGGTAGAGACCAGACAGGGTGCCAGAGGGGGCCGCCGGACACGGTAAGACAGTGGAGAAGTGGGCAAGGACAGGACCCCCAGAGGGGTCCGCCAGGGAGACCGCAACTGGCCGACTAAGCGGCGTAAGCGTGGTGCGGTCTCGAAAGAAGGAGCGGGAAGCACCCGAGTCAAGGGTGAAGGTGTGTAAGGCCTGAGCCGACGTGGTACCTGAGAGAGCAGACGCACCAGTACCTGGGGCAGCAGACTCACCAGCACCTGGAGCAGCAGACGCACTAGCACCTAGAGCAGCAGCCTCACCAGCACCTAGAGCAGCAGTCTCAATGCACGGGTCAGGCGGAACACACAGGTAACAGTCACCCTCATCACTAGTAGGCAATGTATACATGGCAGTGAGGATAGCATCATAGTCAAGAGTATACATATCTACCCTCAGCCTAAGCAGCTCCACCCAGTCGGGGACCTCAGCCGCGTCGCCAAACTCCGTACGCCAGGCGTCGCTCAGACGGGCGAAGCAGCGGGACTCTGCGTGACCAAACGTCCCGCAAGGTTGACCAGTCCGAGCACCAGTGCGAATGACGTACGGACAGCGAGCAGTACCCCGTGACCCGTCACGCTGAGCGTACCACTCACGAAGCTGTTGGGGGGCGAGGGACTCACGCGGACGGCGCTGGAGTTGCATCTGGCCACGCCAGGAGCAGCAGTAGCAGTAGAAAGAGCAGTAGCAGCAAGAGCAGCAGTAACAGCAGTACGGGCAGGGCAGTGCTCACCAGTGGCGAGAAGGGCAGGCGTACGACGGCTGCAATGGCGAGGCCGCTACCACTGTAGGGCGAGGACTCTGCGGCAGCTGCAGGGGCGGCTGAGGCGGCTGCTGCAGGGGCGGCTGCTGCTCCAGGGGCGGCTGCTCCAGGGGCGGCTGCTGCAGTGGCGGCTGCTCCAGGGGCGGCTGCTGCAGGGGCGGCTGCTGCAGGGGTGGCTGCTCCAGGGGCGGCTGCTGCAGTGGCAGCTGCTCCAGGGGCGGCTGCTTCAGGGGCGGCTGCTGCAGGGGCGGCTGCTCCAGGGGCGGCTGCTGCAGGGGTGGCTGCTACAGGGGCGGCTGCTGCAGTGGCGGCTGCTCCAGGGGCGGCTGCTTCAGGGGCGGCTGCTCCAGGGGCGGCTGCTGCAGGGGAGGCTGCTCCAGGGGCGGCTGCTGCAGTGGCGGCTGCTCCAGGGGCGGCTGCTGCAGTGGCGGCTGCTCCAGGGCGCGGGTTAGGGCAGGGCGCCGCGGCGGGCAGGGGTGACGCCACGCGGGTCCCGCAGGGGCGTCGCGACGCACAGGAGCCGCGCCTCGCGGGTCCCGCAGGGGCGTCGCGACGAGGCGGGGGCGACGCGGCGGGGCCGCGACTGGCGACGGGGCGGGGCCGCGACTGGCGACGGGGCGGGGCCGCGACTGGCGACGGGGCGGGGCCGCGACTGGCGACGGGGCGGGGCCGCGACTGGCGACAGGGCGGGGCCGCTACGGGCAGCGGGGCGGGGCCGCGAAGGGGCCGCGAAGGGAGCCGCGAGGGGGGCCGCGAAGGGGCCGTGAAGGGGCCGCGAAGGGGCCGCGAAGGGGCCGTGAAGGGGCCGCGAAGGGGCCGCGAAGGGGCCGCGAAGGGGCTGCGAAGGTGCCGCGAAGGGGACGTGAAGGGGCCGCGAAGGGGCCGTGAAGGGGCCGCGAAGGGGCCGCGAAGGTGCCGCGAAGGGGCCGTGAAGGGGCCGCGAAGGGGCCGCGAAGGGAGGCCGCGAAGGGGCCACGAGGGGCCTGAAGGGGCCGCGAAGGGCCGTGAGAGGGGCCGTGAGAGGCCGTAAGGGAGCGCGACGGGCCACTAAGGGCAGGGGACGCGACGGGAGGGTAGGCACACGGGGCGCGACTCGGGCAGGGGCGAAGCGCGCTCCGGGCAGGAAAAAAAAAAATCGATATTCGGTGGGCCCTAGGAAACGTTCCCACTAGGGAACCTGCTCTATACCATGTGAAAGAACGAGGAATGTGTGCACTAGGAAACAGGTGGGTACAAGTAGGAAAACCTAAAAGTGTTGTACCCCATATTGTCTACCCCACTACAGCCTACACAGACTATAGCATATAAGTTTGACATGCGCGGGGCAGCGCGACGCAAGGCAGGGCAGGGCCTGCGCGGGGCAGCGTGACGCAACGCAGGGCAGGGCGTGCGCGGGGAAGTGCGACGCAAGGCAGGGCAGGGCATGGCGCGCGCTATAGGCGCAGCACAGGGAAGGGCATGAGGTAATGCGGTAACCGCAGTTGGTCACTAGGTAATGGTGGGCCCGAAAAAAAACGGTCCTACGGACCTACTGCTTTGAAACCATGTCAGAAACTAACGAGCAGGAATTATTGCATTGACATCAAACTGAGCACAAGTATAACCCTAATTGGGTTGTACCCTATATAAGCTACCCCACTACAGCCTACACAAAACAAGTAGCATTATAGTTTGACAAGCTCTCCCGTAGAATAGCATTCTCCGCAAGGCCAGGCTCCTCGAACATGGCGGCAGGTAGGATTGCGCCGGCCTATGGCTACTTTTGAAATTTTCGCCGGACAAAAATGTCGTGCCCGCGCTGCTGGAAGGTCGGCGATACCTCATGACGTAGAGGGAGTTGATTGAGCCCCAGCTGGAGATTGCGGGGCTAAAATGTTTTGCTGACTGCGAAGTGGTGACACCAGACAAGGACGATGTCGAGCAGCAGGCAGAGTTCTGCGCGGCTCATTTGTTGACCTTCGTGGTCATCTTGCTCTGCTTTTCTCGGATGGTGCAGATCGCTCTGAAGCCGTGTCGACTTCAACCGGACGCCGACCACTAGGCGTAACGGTTTATCATGTCGACGTAACAGACGACTGACGATCTCTACATCGGCCAGCTCGAGGAGCGTCTGACTCACCTCAGAATGGGCGAGCAGGAGTCGGCGACGGACTACTGCATCCGTGCTCGACGGGTCCAGGTCGATATGCGAATGACGGGCATCGACTATTCGACGGCATCCTATATCACACTGGCAAAACATATTTATCGATTGTCTAGGCTGTAGTGGGGTAGCCCATAGAGGGTACAACCCATTAGGGTTAGTACTTGTACTCCCCATTGCTCTAACTTCATCATTCCGCTGACCTATGATTCTTATATGGTATCAGACGCTAGGTTAGGCCTGCCTGCCAAACCTACTATCGAACCTACTACCGAACCTACGACTAGGTTAGGTCTGTACCCCCTCGTACCACGCGCGCCGCCGCGCTACCCTGCCTAGCGCGCCACCGCGCTACCCTGCCTAGCGCGCCACCGCACCGTCCTCCCCTACCTCCAGCGCGCTGCCCTGCTCTGCGCGCCACCGTGCTGCCCTGCCCTGCGCGCCACCGCGCTGCCCTACCTAGCGAGCCACCGCGCCGCGCAAGTAGTAACTTCGTACTAACTTCGTTTCCAACTACCATGGCGTGTAGTTGGTGATCACTGTCCATTACAGTCCACCCAAGATAACGAAATGTGAGGGATGGAAATAGATTCAGCATGAATGACTATCTAATTTAGTCGGCTGTCCCACTCTCGCAGATGACTTAAAACCGGGGTGCACATTCAGCTGAATGTGCATCAAAGGTTATCCCTTGACTGAGTGGGTTACGAGGTGTGCTTTCAACCCCTTCAAGTCGAAATTCGTTTCCCCCCTCCCCCGCAATTTCGTTTCCCCACGCCCCCGCAATTTCATTTCCCCCTCCCCGTCGAAATTCGTTTCCCCCCTCCCCCGCAATTTTGTTTCCCCCCTCCCCCGCAATTTCGTTTCCCCCCCCTCCCGCCAATCTGTTTCATCCCTCCCGCCATTCGGTTTCACCCACTCCCGCCATTTCACCCCCTCCCGCCACCTACGAAATGCCCGAAGCTCTAGCGGAATCATTTTTTTGTCGCCCCTCGTGAGCCAATCACTGTTTTTCTCCAAACCCCCTTCCCAACATCTCAAGCCGAACCGCGTTGAATGTGCACCCTGGTTTTAAGGTATATTTGCACATTTGCCGTGAGAGTGTACTCTACTGATTCTTGTGAAGAACACCTTGATTTTCGTAAAGACAATTGGTATGACGCACTGTGCCGATTACATATTCAGCACCAGCAGGATTTGTTAGCTGCCACATTGTCCTCTCCCCTTCGCTTGTGGAAAAATGCATGCAGAAACAAAGTCCCACGCGACGCACACTGTTGAACTTTTCTAGCGCTGTTGGTGTTACTGTGACTGAATAAAAACAGCTCTTGCAAGCAAGATGAGATGACAACCGCACTCGTAAGCGACAAGAACGGTCCAGTCCAGCTGCATGCAATGGCTGGTTGTGAAGTGGTACTGTACTGTTCTTCTTCCTGCAGGCAAGAGAAACTGCCGGAAGCCGCACTCGTAAGTGACGAGGATAGTGCACCTGCTTGTGATGGTTGGTTAAAACTGGAGAAAGTATTTCTAATCACACTGGCGGTATTGCTTTGGTATCAAAACAGCTCTTGCAGGCGAGAGGAGCTCCCAGCAGCGGCACTTGTAAGCGATGAGAACAGCCCAGCTGCCTGCGACGGCTGGTTGAACATCTCCTGTAGGTTTGAAATGTTGCGCGTGACTTGGCTGCCATCCCCGAGAATTGACCCCAGTTTGACCTGCATTCAGGTGGGAGCAACAGGGGAAGATCGTAAGCTGAGGCCGATGCGGCATCGAAAGGGGGGCAGGTAGCAGAAAGCACACACAGAATGCCTGGAAACAAAGAATAATTTACAGAAGTCCTTAGAGTTAATGAACAGAATGCGGTAATTACCTGACCCATAAGTGACTTGAAAATGGGTGTAGCAGAAAGCCCCGTCGAATCTGCGAACGAGAACGCCCCTCCAAGAGCCCCATCTTCTCCCCAAGCACCGCTACCCACCCCTCCAAACCCACCACCACCGACACCACTTGCTGCTGCAGCCGCCCCTGCCCCACTAGGCACACGGGACACTGGAGCGCCACTGTTGCTGCTGGAACCAGAAACGGATAGCGAGACATCTCCAAAGGTGGATGGACGGCGGGGCTTACCGCCAGGTGCCAGCCCGCCATTGGCCAGAAGCGGGGAGCTGGAGGAAGATGGGGGTGAAGGGGAGAAAGGGGCTTTTGAGGCGCCTTAAATAATGCTTTCTGCCAGGTGGCAGCCCGGCATTGGTCAGAAGAGGCGAGCTGGGGAAAGAGGGGGGGATGGAGGGGAGGGGAAAGGGAGGGGGTGGGGGAAGGGAAGGGGGGAAAGGGAGGGGGTGGGGGGAGGGAAGGGGGGAAAGGGAGAGGGGAAAAGGAAAGGGGGAAAAGGGAGGTTGGGAGGAGGGTCAAAGATGGTTGAGGTTAAGGGAGGGGGAAGGAGGGAGTAGGGTGGCATAATGGCGGTGGGGTGCAGATTTCGATTTGAAGCTACAATCATATCACAATAAAAATTGTTTTGGATGCGCCTCATAAGTTGTATTAATATCACTCTTGAGCTTGCATTTTGAGAGAAAGGCGAAGGGGCAGTGCCAAGAGTGTTGGCGTCTGTGGCGTGGGGATGGTGCGGTGTAGAATTGGTACAAAACAAATGAGATGAACAGTACAAGAAAGACCGCAAGCAATTTACCTTATGGGCAGGAAAGTGAAGCGTGGAACGGTGGGAGCGGTATCCAGGGTGTTGGCGTCTGTGGCGTAGGGATGGCGCGGTGCAGCATCGGTGTAGAGGCGATGCAGCTGTGCCAGATGACCGAAGAGCACTGCTGAGCGCAGGTAGAATCGCTGCTGGTTCTGCCACAGGAAAGGCAGGTAGCTGGGGCGGAAGAAGGGAGAGGGAGGGGAGAGAGGGAGGGGGAATGGGGAGAGGGAAAACGTGGGGAGTGGTTTACAGCTGAGTCAGATGGCCAAAGAACACTGCTGCACCAGGGTGTAGAGTAAGTAGGATGCAGAGTGCAGCATCGGTGTAGAGACCATTCAGCCGAGCCAGATGGCCGAAGAGCACAGCTGAGAGCCGGTAGAATCGCTGCTGGTTCGGCCACAGGAAAGGCAGATAGCTGGGAAGTGGGGAGGGGAGGGGGGAGGAGGGAGGAGCAGATATGAGAGTGGGCTGTACACCGGTCTGATCTAAGCATACAGGGTGTCGTTCAGTTCCGTGCACCCCACCTGCATACAGGGTGTCGTTCAGTTCCGTGCACCCCACCTGCATACAGGGTGTCGTTCAGTTCCGTGCACCCCACCTGCATACAGGGTGTCGTTCAGTTCCCTCACCCCACCTGCATACAGGGTGTCGTTCAGTTCCGTGCACCCCACCTGCATTCCTCAACCGACTCACGTGGCTCTGCAGCTTTGTCCAGCAGCGCGGCCACTCTTTCATTCAGACCTGGGATGGGAGCTCGCTGCATGTGTGCACGAGGAGTCAGTGCAACTCACGCGGCCCTATCGATGGGGCCCAGTCCAGCTCCCCTTGCAGGCTTCTCCAGCAGCAGCGCTGCCATGCCACTCGTCAACGATAACAAGTTGGCAGCAAGTGCAGTGCACCGGAGGGGGGGGGGGACCAATGAAGTGGAACTCACGCGGCTCGGTCGATGGGGTCCAGCTCCTCCTGCAGCTTCTCCAGCAGCGCTGCAACTCGTTTCTTCCTCGCCGCAACCGACACACCAATGCTCCCCGCCCCTGCCCCTGCCCCTGCCCCTGCCCCTGCTCCACCTCCTGAACCTGCCCTTGCTACAGCCCCCCCTGCTGCCCCTGCCCCAGCTCCCCTGTCCGCTGCTGCCCCTGCTCTTGCTCCCCCTCCTGCACGCCCTTCTGCTGCTGCCCCTGATATCGCTCTGAGTGCTTCCAGAGGCAACTCCGCCCCTCCTGAGAGCACGTCTGACAGCAGGCGAGCGTCAAAGAGCAGCTGCAGCACTCCCTTCTCTGATGCACGCTTGGTGCTGGCAAGATTCTCATAGGCACCCAGGACCTGGGGGGAGGGGTATGAGGAAGGAAGGCAGGGACATGGATTTCACGTCTGACAGCAGGCGCGCTTCAAAGAGCAGCTGCAGCACTCCCTTCCCTGATGCACGCTTGGTGCTGGCGGCAGACTCGTAGGCAGATAAAACCTGGGAGGAAGGGCATAAGGGAAGGGAGGGAGGGAGTTGAATTCACAGGCTGACAGCAGGTGTGCGTGAAAGAGCAGCTGCAGCACTCCCTTCTCTGATGCCCGTTTGGTGCTGGCAAGTGCCTCGTAGGCGCGCAGAACCTGAAGGGATGGGCATGAGGGAGGAGAAGGAGAGGGGCAAGAGGGATGGGCATGAGGGACGAGACGGGGGGGCGCAAGAGGGATGGGCATGAGGGAGGGCGAGCGGATGTGTGCGAGCAGGCGAGCGCCAAAGAGCCGCTGCAGCTGCAGCACGCCTTTATGGCGAGTGGAGGCAAGAGCCTCGTGCACACCCAGGAACTGTTGGGAGGGGAGGGGGGAAGGCAGGGAGGCGGGGAGGTGGGGAGGGGAGGGACGAAGGGAGGGCGGCTAAGTGAAGAGCCAAGCAAACAGCACCACTGAGCCAAGCAAACAGCACCACTGAGCCAAGCAAACAGCACCACTGAGCCAAGCAAACAGCACCACTGAGCCAAGCAAACAGCACCACTGAGCCAAGCAAACAGCACCACTGAGCCAAGCAAACAGCACCACTGAGCCAAGCAAACAGCACCACTGAGCCAAGCAAACAGCACCACTGAGCCAAGCAAACAGCACCACTGAGCCAAGCAAACAGCACCACTGAGCCAAGCAAACAGCACCACTGAGCCAAGCAAACAGCACCACTGAGCCAAGCAAACAGCACCACTGAGCCAAGCAAACAGCACCACTGAGCCAAGCAAACAGCACCACTGAGCCAAGCAAACAGCACCACTGAGCCCAAACCCCCCCAACTGCTCAGCACAGCTCCTGTCTGGTTCATTTCTTTAGGCACGCACCCTCCTACTGTCCAGCATACCTGGTTTGAGAGCTCCCAGGCGAAAAGGCAGAGAACGAGGTGGTCGAGGGAGTGGCAACCCACACGGTGCACATCAGCTGATGCAGCAAAGAGCAGCAAAGAGCAGGATGCCACGTATGGCGAGGGGCAGGCTGGCAGGGTCATTCGCATCTCCACCTTGGCTCTAGGCACACACACCCCCTCCTACTGTTCTCCCCACCTGGCCTGATAGTTCCCAGGCAAACAGCCTGAGGACGAGGCGGTCGAGGGAGTGGCAGCCCACACGGTGCACATCAGCGGAGGCGGCAAAGAGCAGCGACGCCACGTAGGGCGAGGGGCATGCCGGCAGGGTCATTCGCATCTCCACCTTGGCCTCGCCCTCCTCCCCCTCCTGCTGCACCACCGTCTCCTCCCAGCCCTGGAGAAAAGGCACGTTTAGGGCAGGGAGAAACAGGGGAAGGGTGGGGCGTACAGAGGGGCAGGAAGGCTGGGAGGATCGTTCGTATCGCCACCTTGGCGTCCGCCTGCCCTCCTCTCCCTCGGCTGAGCGGGGAGTGGGATAGGAAGAGGAACAGTTGAGAGCTGGCCGGGTAGTTCCGGCTCGCTGGGTGGGTGGGTGAGACTTCAATCCTGGGATGCGCGTGCTTCCCATCCCAGTGCACCAAGGCTGGGGTTCCACAGAATCCCGTACGTTGAGCCTTGAGGGGAGTGGTGGCGGTGAGAGCTGGGTCGTGCATGAGATTGCGGAAAAAGGAACGGCGGTGGGTAAGGTAAGGTTCACCCAGTGCTGCACAGTGGAGTGCACTGGTTGGGGTGGTTCCAAAGAACGCTCGTACCTCGAAGGGAGAGGGAAACCTAACTCGAACGAACGAGAAGCGAACCTGGAGGGGAGTGGCGGTGGTGAGAGCTGGGTCGTGCATGAGATTGCGGCGGAAGGCGGAGGCGAGCAGGCGGGTGCTGTGAGTCACCCAGTGCGAGTGCGCCAGAATGCTCAGCCGCCGCAACTCCCTCTGAAAACAACAGGGGGGGATGGTGTAGTGGGAGAGGAAGAAGCGTACAAGCAGTGAGAGATAGCATCTTAGGCAGCGCATCTTGGGAGAGCACCTTGGGGTTAGAAGCATCTTGGGAGAGCACCTTGGGAGAGCACCTTGGGAGAGCACCTTGGGGTTAGAAGCATCTTGGGAGAGCATCCTGGGAGAGCACCTTGGGAGAGCACCTTGGGGTTAGAAGCATCTTGGGAGAGCATCCTGGGAGAGCACCTTGGGAGAGCACCTTGGGGTTAGAAGCATCTTGGGAGAGCATCCTGGGAGAGCACCTTGGGGTTAGAAGCATCTTGGGAGAGCATCCTGGGAGAGCACCTTGGGAGAGCACCTTGGGGTTAGAAGCATCTTGGGAGAGCATCCTGGGAGAGCACCTTGGGAGAGCACCTTGGGGTTAGAAGCATCTTGGGAGAGCATCCTGGGAGAGCACCTTGGGAGAGCACCTTGGGGTTAGAAGCAAGATATCCAAGGGTCGAGGTGAAAGCAAACTGAGCAACTGCAAATGGCTGGAGGGGAGTGGGGGGCACGGCACGGCAGAGAGACGACATATAGGAGTTACAACGAAATGACTCACTTGAATCTCATGTAGCCGAGCGAACTCAGGTGATCTCGCCGCAACAGCAGCAAGATCCGTCACTCTCCTCCCACCCCTCCTGCCTGAACCCCCTCCCACTCCTAACCCCACACCACCACCACCCATCCAGCTCAACCCACCACCACCGCCACCGCCACTCCCGCTGCTACCACTGCCCCCTCCTGCCACTGCTGCTGCGATAATACTCCCCACAACCTCCTGAGAGGGCCACTGCAGCACTGGCTCCCCAGCCCTCGACCCATCCCTCTCAGCATCCCCATTATAAACCGCCCCAGTACTAGCTTCTGAGGCTACTCCAGAAGCAGTTGATTCAGCCGAAGCAGCGGTATAGCCGCCTGCTGTAGCGGCAGCAGCTGCTGCTACAGCTGGCCAGGTGGAGCTAGGGCCAAGCGCCACAGCTAGGGAGGAGGAACTCTGCGCTACAGCCGCTGCCAGCCGGCCAATCAGAAGAGCCTGTTCGACCGCCACTTGCGCGGATAACCTCCCAGCAGCATTCGCTGCATCTGGGCCGTTGGATCGTGATCCTGCATCCAACACTCCTCCTGACCCATTTCCTGTTCGTTCCCCTGCTGCTGTTGCTGCCGCACTTTCCGAGCTGTTCTCAACACTGCCGTTCTCTCGTTCCCCCTTCTCCGTCTCCTCAGCTTGCTCTGCCCGCTCTGCCTGCTGCTGCTGCTTCTGCAGGTCGCCGAGCCTGCTTGCCAGCAGCCTAACCAGCCGCATCACACACTCGTGGCACCGATCCTGCAGGTACGGGGCCAAATCCTTGGTTCGGGACGCCGCCGAAGCTGCCGAAGCAGCGACGGCAGAGGCGGGGGCAGAAGAATCCAATGAAGAGGAGGAGGAGGAGGAGGTGGTGGTGGAGGGATGGGCAGAGGGAGCGAGTGCAGAGTGAGGAAGGAGGAGAGTGAGGGCATCTAGCAGAATCTCCTGAATTTTGGAGTGTAGCTGTTGCCATACCACCCTTACCTGTGGCTCATACACTTGCGTGCCACGCAAAACTGCCTCTCCGTTCCCCCGCCCACCCTCCTTCCCACCCTCTTTCCCACCCTCCTTCCCCTCTCCACCTGCTCCTCCTGCCCCACCTTTACCCAGCCCCACCACACCCAACTCCTCTCCCGGGGTGCCCCATACTGCCTCCCCAACAGCAAACCCGCCTGTCTCCTCGAACCCTGCTTGCCCTATAACGTCAGTGAGAGGGGGTAGTGTCGCCCAACCTGCCCCGAACCTCCTGCCTCCTCCTGCCAAACCTGCTGCTTTCTCACTGGCAATAGCACGAGCAGCAGCCGTAACCACAGCAGCACCACCACCTGCAGCGCCAACACCAGCAGCACCAGCACCAGTACCAGCAGCAGCAGCAGCAGCAGCAGCAGCATTCTGTGCTGAAACCACGGCTGCCACAGCCACCACATCCCCCACCTCCCTCAACACCCCGTCAATCTCCTCCCTCAGCGTCAATCCCGCAAACGCCCCGTCAATAATCTCCCGCGCTCTAAGTGCGAACGCGGCCTCAAACAACTCGCTCCATAGGTCCTTGGGCTCTTTCAGTAGCAGCTCGCAGAGGGCGCGCCAGGGGGATTCCGGGGGAGAGCCGAAGGCTGACGTCAGCCAGTCCAGGCTGGCAGCGAAGATGTCCTTGTTGGTGATCGCTGCACGCGTGGCGGCCTCTGCTTGCGCCAGGTGGCGGATCTGGGTCACCCTGCTGAGAAGGCTCTTGGACTCGGCTGGAAGGAAGATGGTGGGAGTGGGGAGTGAGGGGAGTGGGGAGTGAGGCGAGTGCGGGAAGAGTGGGAGAAAAGGAGGAAATATGCTGCGCTCCCTCCCCGTCTTTTAATTTCAGTCGAGTCAAATGTCATAGAGATGACTCTGCAAAGCAGGTTCTTGAAGTCAGCTGGTGAGAGGCTGGGGAGTGTGGGTGGGGTGGGTGCTTCTATAAAGCGAGAGTATGCCTTTGAGACAGACTCACCAGCAATGTCAGCAGAGCACGCCTTGAGCCACCCCTGGCACGCCTCTGCCTGCCACCTCCTTGCTGTCTGGGTGGGGTATGCCCCTCTCAAATCAGAACTCACCAGCAATGTCAGCAGCGCACACCTTGAACCACCCCTGGCACGCCTCAAAGAAGGCAGGTGGGCTTCCAGACGCCTCAAACGAGAGTATGCCTTCCATACTCACCAGCAATGTCAACAGCGCATGCTTTCAGCCAGTTTTGGCACGCCTCTGCCACCTCCTTGCTGCTTAAAGACGGCAACCGGGCTTCCAGCGCGTCCCTTTGTGTGTGCCAGAGCGCCGCCAGCTCCCTGTCGGGCTGAGTGGGGTACAGTATGCTTCCTCCCAGATACCAGAGTCTGCCCTTCTCGAGAAAAGAAGGCTACGCCCACCGCCAGACTTACCAGCAATGTCAGCAGCGCACACCTTGAGCCAGTCTTGACACGCCTCGGCCACCTCCTTGCTGCTCAAAGACGGCAACCGGGCTTCCAGCGCGTTCCTGTGTGTGTGCCAGAGCGCCAGCTCCCTCCCTGTCGGGGCTGGCTGGTGCATGCTCTTCCCAGAAACGAGAGTACACCTTCCATACTCACCAGCAATATCAGCAGCGCATGCTTTCAGCCAGTCTTGGCACGCGTCTGCCACCTCCTTGCTGCTGAGAGACGGGAGCCTGGCCTCTAGAGCGTCCCTGTGTGTGTGCCAGAGCGCCAGCTCCCCGTCGGGGCGTGGGATGCCGCCAAACAGCTGCGCCTGTGGTGCTCCCTGCAGCAGCACCCCCAGCAGCACTGCTCGTTCAGCTGAAGAAACCTCCAGAAACAGCTGTCCCGTCTGGCACAGCGTGAGCTGGTGGCGGCGATGGCGGGTGGGTGGGAAATGGGGGGGTTTGGGGAATACATTTTGAGGTTTAGGGGCGGCAGGTTGCTCCCTACAGCAGCACCCAAAGAAGCACCGCCCTTTCAGCTGAGGAAACTTCCAGGAAAAGCTGCCCCGTCTGGCACAGGGTGAGCTGACGAGAGGAAAGCGGGTTAGAGGGGGTTGGGAGTTTTGCGGGACGGTTGGAAGGTGTGAAGGGAGGTGGTTGGTTGGGAGGTCTGAAAGGAAGAAGCGAGGAATGCTATTGGTTGGCAGGTACGGTAATGAAAGGAAGTAGTGAAGAGAGAAAGGAGGGGCGTGAAAAAAATCCCGGCTACGTGAGCTGCCTGCTGCCGTAGCCATACCTGCTGCCGTAGCCATACCTGCTGCCGTAGCCATACCTGCTGTTAAAACTGGTATACCTGCTACCGCTGATATACCTCCTGCCGCTGGTATACCTGAATCAGAGCTACCAGCTGGCTGAGCAGTGCTGCCAGCGCATCAGCAAAACTCCCCCCAGCGCCCAGAGCTAAGGTGGCAGAGGCGAGCTGCATTGGGGGGGAGTGGAGAGCGTGGAAGGATGGAACGAGATGGCAGGAGAGGAGGGAACCTTTCGAATCAAATCGCTCAATGGTAGCTAGCTCATCCGCGAAGCTGACTTGGTGCAAATTTTGAGAATTCTCAAAGGTCAATGCTTGCTAGCTCATCTGCGCAGCTGGTTGGCCCCCCTAGAACTGATGTGATAGAGGCGAGCTGAAACAGGAAGGAGTGGGGGGACGGCGGGCATGAGAGGGGTTGGGAGGGGTTGGGAAAGGATGAGAGGGGATGACAGGGGGTGGGAGGGGACTGGTTCGCATTAGCGCATCAGCAAAACTCCCCCCAGCGCCCAGAGCTAAGGTGGCAGAGGCGAGCTGCAACAGGGAGGGAGGAGTGGAGGGCGGGCATGAGAGGGGTTGAGGGGTTGAGACAGGATGAGAGGGGATGAGAGGGGGTGGGAGGGGACTGGTTTGTGCTAGCACATCAGCAAACCCCCCCTCCCCCCCCACCACCCCCCCCCCCCCGGCGCCCAGAGCTGAAGCGGCAGAGGCGAGGTGCAACAGGGAGGAGTGGAGGTAGGGCGGGCATGAGAAGGGTTGGGACAGGATGCAAGGGGATGAGAGGGGTTGGGAGGGAGGGGACTGGTTTGCACTAGCCCATCTGCGAGGGGACTGGTTTGCACTAGCCCATCTGCGAGGGGACTGGTTTGCACTAGCCCATCTGCGAGGGGACTGGTTTGCACTAGCCCATCTGCGAGGCTGCCCCCGTCGCCCAGAGCTGAAGGTGGCAGAGGCGAGCTGCAACAGGGAGGAATGGAGGGAGGACGGGCATGAGAGGGGTTGGGAGGTAATGGAAGGGGTGGGAGGGAATGGGATCACTGCGCTGCCGCATACTCTCTCATCCTTGCCCTTTCTCTTTCCACACATATGCAAAGCAAGAGAGGGAGAAAAGGGGGGGTGGGGTAAGGGTAGAGAAATGGGAGGAGGAGGGGAGGGGCGAAAGTCAGAAAGACAGACAGACAGACAGACAGACAGACAGACAGACAGACAGACAGACAGACAGACAGACAGACAGACAGACAGACAGACAGACAGACAGACAGACATAAAGACAGAAAGACAGATGGACGGACAGACGGAGTAGCAAACATCCTCGCCACTTCTTCCCGCCCTCATGCCAACTTCTCCCACTCTCCTGCCACGTCCTCCCGCGTTCCTCCTACCCTCGGTCCCACATTCTTAATGCATGAGCCAGTGGCAGGAAGGCAGGAAAAAGTGCCTGGAAGGCGGGAGAAAGTGGGAGGAGGGCGGGAGGAAGTGGCAGGAGGACAGGCGAAAATGGCAAGAGGGCGGGCGGAAGGAAGTGGCAAGACGGCGAGAGACAGACAGACAGACAGACAGACAGACAGACAGACAGACAGACAGACAGACAGACAGACAGACAGACAGACAGACAGACAGACAGACAGACAGACAGACAGACAGACAGACAGACAGACAGACAGACAGACAGACAGACAGACGGATACATGCACCTGGGAGCACAGGCATGCTCCACGGGCGTCAAGAAAGAGGGTGAGGAGGTCATGAAACGAGAGCCCTTTCATCACTGCCACCGCTGCCACAAGTACTGCGTGCCCCGCCAATCTCTTCTCCAACTCTCTTACCCCACAAACCCACCTGGGAGCACAAGCATGCTCCACGGGCGTCAAGAAAGAGGTCGAGCAAATCGTGCGCTGCTGTATACCCTCCTTCTCACTCACACCCGGCCACTGCACACCAGCAGCAACAGACAGACAAAGACACGCGCACCCACATACACATACACCTGGGAGCGCAGCGCAGGCGCTCTACTGGTGTCGAGGAAGAGAGCTCTTCCATCACCGCCAACGCTGCCAGCGCTGCTGCGTACTCTCATACTCACTCTCTCAAGTCAATTTCCACCTCAATCTCCACTCCTCAATCTCCACTCCTCAATCTCCACTCCTCAATCTCCACTCCTCAATCTCCACTCCTCAATCTCCACTCCTCAATCTCCACTCCTCAATCTCCACTCCTCAATCTCCACTCCTCAATCTCCACTCCTCAACCTCCACTCCTCAACCTCCACTCCTCAATCTCCACTCCTCAATCTCCACTCCTCAATCTCCACTCCTCAATCTCCACTCCTCAATCTCCACTCCTCAATCTCCACTCCTCAATCTCCACTCCTCAATCTCCACTCCTCAATCTCCACTCCTCAATCTCCACTCCTCAATCTCCACTCCTCAATCTCCACTCCTCAATCTCCACTCCTCAATCTCCACTCCTCAATCTCCACTCCTCAATCTCCACTCCTCAACCTCCACTCCTCAACCTCCACTCCTCAACCTCCACTCCTCAACCTCCACTCCTCAATCTCCACTCCTCAATCTCCACTCCTCAATCTCCACTCCTCAATCTCCACTCCTCAATCTCCACTCCTCAATCTCCACTCCTCAATCTCCACTCCTCAATCTCCACTCCTCAATCTCCACTCCTCAATCTCCACTCCTCAATCTCCACTCCTCAATCTCCACTCCTCAATCTCCACTCCTCAACCTCCACTCCTCAACCTCCACTCCTCAATCTCCACTCCTCAATCTCCACTCCTCAATCTCCACTCCTCAATCTCCACTCCTCAATCTCCACTCCTCAATCTCCACTCCTCAATCTCCACTCCTCAATCTCCACTCCTCAATCTCCACTCCTCGATCTCCACTCCTCGATCTCCACTCCTCGACCTCCACTCCTCCATCTCCACTCCTCAATCTCCACTCCTCAATCTCCACTCCTCAATCTCCACTCCTCAATCTCCACTCCTCAATCTCCACTCCTCAAGCTCCACTCCTCAAGCTCCACTCCTCAATCTCCACTCCTCAATCTCCACTCCTCAATCTCCACTCCTCAATCTCCACTCCTCAATCTCCACTCCTCAATCTCCACTCCTCAATCTCCACTCCTCAATCTCCACTCCTCAATCTCCACTCCTCAATCTCCACTCCTCAATCTCCACTCCTCAATCTCCACTCCTCAACCTCCACTCCTCAACCTCCACTCCTCAATCTCCACTCCTCAATCTCCACTCCTCAATCTCCACTCCTCAATCTCCACTCCTCAATCTCCACTCCTCAATCTCCACTCCTCAATCTCCACTCCTCAATCTCCACTCCTCAATCTCCACTCCTCAATCTCCACTCCTCAATCTCCACTCCTCAATCTCCACTCCTCAATCTCCACTCCTCAATCTCCACTCCTCAATCTCCACTCCTCAATCTCCACTCCTCAATCTCCACTCCTCAATCTCCACTCCTCAATCTCCACTCCTCAATCTCCACTCCTCAATCTCCACTCCTCAATCTCCACTCCTCAATCTCCACTCCTCAATCTCCACTCCTCAATCTCCACTCCTCAATCTCCACTCCTCAATCTCCACTCCTCAATCTCCACTCCTCAATCTCCACTCCTCAATCTCCACTCCTCAATCTCCACTCCTCAATCTCCACTCCTCAATCTCCACTCCTCAATCTCCACTCCTCAATCTCCACTCCTCAATCTCCACTCCTCAACCTCCACTCCTCAACCTCCACTCCTCAACCTCCACTCCTCAACCTCCACTCCTCAATCTCCACTCCTCAATCTCCACTCCTCAATCTCCACTCCTCAATCTCCACTCCTCAATCTCCACTCCTCAATCTCCACTCCTCAATCTCCACTCCTCAATCTCCACTCCTCAATCTCCACTCCTCAATCTCCACTCCTCAATCTCCACTCCTCAATCTCCACTCCTCAATCTCCACTCCTCAATCTCCACTCCTCAATCTCCACTCCTCAATCTCCACTCCTCAACCTCCACTCCTCAACCTCCACTCCTCAACCTCCACTCCTCAACCTCCACTCCTCAATCTCCACTCCTCAATCTCCACTCCTCAATCTCCACTCCTCAATCTCCACTCCTCAATCTCCACTCCTCAAGCTCCACTCCTCAAGCTCCACTCCTCAAGCTCCACTCCTCAATCTCCACTCCTCAATCTCCACTCCTCAATCTCCACTCCTCAATCTCCACTCCTCAATCTCCACTCCTCAATCTCCACTCCTCAATCTCCACTCCTCAATCTCCACTCCTCAATCTCCACTCCTCAATCTCCACTCCTCAATCTCCACTCCTCAATCTCCACTCCTCAACCTCCACTCCTCAACCTCCACTCCTCAATCTCCACTCCTCAATCTCCACTCCTCAATCTCCACTCCTCAATCTCCACTCCTCAATCTCCACTCCTCAATCTCCACTCCTCAATCTCCACTCCTCAATCTCCACTCCTCAACCTCCACTCCTCAACCTCCACTCCTCAACCTCCACTCCTCAATCTCCACTCCTCAATCTCCACTCCTCAATCTCCACTCCTCAATCTCCACTCCTCAATCTCCACTCCTCAATCTCCACTCCTCAATCTCCACTCCTCAATCTCCACTCCTCAATCTCCACTCCTCAATCTCCACTCCTCAATCTCCACTCCTCAATCTCCACTCCTCAATCTCCACTCCTCAATCTCCACTCCTCAATCTCCACTCCTCAATCTCCACTCCTCAATCTCCACTCCTCAATCTCCACTCCTCAATCTCCACTCCTCAATCTCCACTCCTCAATCTCCACTCCTCAATCTCCACTCCTCAAGCTCCACTCCTCAATCTCCACTCCTCAATCTCCACTCCTCAATCTCCACTCCTCAATCTCCACTCCTCAATCTCCACTCCTCAATCTCCACTCCTCAATCTCCACTCCTCAATCTCCACTCCTCAATCTCCACTCCTCAATCTCCACTCCTCAATCTCCACTCCTCAATCTCCACTCCTCAATCTCCACTCCTCAATCTCCACTCCTCAATCTCCACTCCTCGATCTCCACTCCTCGATCTCCACTCCTCGATCTCCACTCCTCGATCTCCACTCCTCGATCTCCACTCCTCGATCTCCACTCCTCGATCTCCACTCCTCGATCT